GCCTGAGATAAGCTGCTGGGGACAAGCCAAGAGCAGCCTCACTGGCAAACCTTCAGGTCTGGTCAGCAAACTCAGGTGATTGGAACTTAAGTCTTGGACTGGATGTCATAATAGCATAGACTATGGAGCTGATTGAGGTAGGAGGGCTAAGAGGGCTTTGGGCCTAATATGGATATCATTCTGGCTACAGGGGAGTGCTGTTCCAGTTTACTAGAAGCATGCTCTGATAGGGTGATATTTAGCCCACTGTGATGTGTTAAATGGATGCAGGGGAAACATTAGGAAGGAATAATTGTCACTTCTAAAGGCTTTGCCTATGGAATTTATATTTAGCTATTAGACAACTTGTTTGGATTATGATTCTGTTAAACAGAGAACAGGCAAAGCTGAGTGAAGTTAAGCAAAGCAAATGTTTATATATTTTTACCTAACTAGCTGGGTTTATGGGTAAAAGATGGATTTAAAACCATGTAGAGTTCCTGGGAATAGATATTATATGTGTTGATCATAGTACCTGCACCACTTAAGATACTGGCTGTAGACCTCTGTTTTTGTAGAAGCTGAGGATCAGCTAAGGCAATAAAACTCTACTTGCAGAGACTTCAGACTGTTTGCCAACAAATTCTGAACTGCTTGGAGAGAATGGAGAAGCTGCAGTTCTTACGCTCTGAAGCTGAAGAGTGCAGATGACTTATACCTCATGTTATAGTCAAAGTGAGAAATCATCTCTGGAAGATAAGAAAGAAATAATGCATTTATAAGGATGTGCTAAACCAGGGCTGGCCAACCTGTGGCATGTGTCCCACAAGTGGCACAGGCAGCCTGTGTGTGTGGCATGCAGCATGCCGGGGAGGAAACAGGCAGCAGAGTGGCAGATAGGTTAGGGAACAGGAGGCAGAGCAACAGATCAGGCAGGGAACATAAGGCAAGGAGCAGAAAGCAGAGCAAATGATTGGGTAGGGGAAAGGGAATGGAGTGGCACTGGGGAGGATGTATACATCTGCCAAAAAAACTGGTCCTCACTGGGCTGTAGTGTTGAAATGCAAATGTTATAATACAACTTTATATTTAAATACATGGAATGGCTAAAAGTGTGTATGTGTGTGGGAGACGCCAGAATACTAACTGATTTATAGTTTTTGTTTAGCATTATTCATAGACTTCTGGTGATAGTTACTGTGTTTTACACCAGGCATGGCAAACTCATATGGGGCCCTGAGCCAAATCTGGTCTGCAGGGTTCCTTGCAGGCTGGATCCAGCCTGGAGCACAGGGACAACTACCATGGTGGCAGCAACTGCGGTGGCAGCAAGGGGTCTGGAGACAGCAGTGGCGGATCTGGAGGTGGGGACAGATCTGGGGGCAGGGGTCTAGCAGGAGCTGGAGTTTAGATGCAGCAGTGGGTCCAGCAGCAGGGGGAGTCCAAAAGTTTGGAGGCAGCCACAACGGTGATCCAAACTCACCATCAATTGGCATGACAAGCTGGGTAAAATGGCCCTGCCATCTGTGGCAGGCTAGTAGTCCAGAGCAGTGGTTCTCAAACTTTGGTACCTTACATACCTCTTGCCAATCAATGTGGCAAAAGCAAAACCGGAAGTCCCACCATAGCACTTCCGGTTTTGCTGCCACAAGCTGAGTCCCACTTTTTCCTCCAGGGCCACGGCCCAGGGCAAAGAAGTCTGTGCGAGGCCTCCCTCCCTGTCCCCCGGCACACTGACGCTGGGGAGTGAAAGCCCTGGTGCACTGAACACGGTGGGAACTTCTGGCCAGAACAGGCAAAGACACCTCCAACCCGCCAGGTGGTGGGGTGGGCCAAACTCAAAACATGGCACCCACGTACCCCCTGCCTGTGTCTTGCATACTGCCAGGAGTACGTGTACCATGAGTTAAGAAACACTGGTCCAGAGGGCCAGATAGAAAGGATCTGTGGGCAATATGTTTGACAACCCTATTTTACATTGAATATAATGTTTTCTGCCTGCATTACTTGTTTTACTAAGAAGATGCATGATTCCCTGTCTTTGAAAGTTGAGTGCAAACTAGTAACATCGAGTTATAAGGGTCCTCTGTAAGCCATTCATCTCCAAATGGAAGAATCAAAGAATGCCTGAAGATTTGCTCTCGTAGTCTATCATTCAGACCCTTCATTAAATGCAAAATTATTTCCTCCTGGGCTCTTTGCTGATGATACTGTAGTACCTCAGTGCTTCACGAACCTGTATTTATCTTCATAAACATACCTATAGGGTTATGGGGGTATTATCTCCATTTTATAAATGAGGATCTCAGCTACCATGAGAGAAACTTAAGATGCCTAAAGCCTGAGTTCTCAGAGTAATTATAAAATGTTATGTTCAGTGTATAGCTGCCATTGACTTCTGGTTGTAAGCTCATAACACTCCTTCCTGTCAGTGATGCCAGTGGTATCTTAAGATGGGCAACTAGAAAATGACCCAACTGTTTAGTGGTCACTTTAGAAAAATGTGGTTTAAATGAGTTGCCCTCTAAGAATCAGGGATGAAATCCAGATCTTCAGACCAGCAGTCAGCTGCCTTAACCACAAGATCACTCTTCCTATTCCTGCAGTGTCCTCCCTCCTTCACTAGCTTGTGCTGCAAACCAGGGAAGAGTCTTACAGACAAACTTTTATCATTTACACATATGGTAACCATGTTTCTTTTAAGGAAATCTGAGACACTGTTTCAAGTAAAGGTGGCACCTCCTCCACCCCAAAGTCAGCAGCAGCGCTGCAGGCAGAGGCCCGCCTTGCTCCTACACAGCAGCAGCAGTGCCTGCCTGCCTGCCCTCCTGGCTCACCATGCCACTTCGGCTCCCCACCAGACTGCGCCTCACGCCCCTGCCCACCTGCCTCTGCCTAAGTGGCTGATTCCAAGACTTTTGTTTCAATTTTCACCAACCAGCCTACGAAATCTGGGACTGTCCCAGCTAAACCAGGATGTGCAGTCACCCTACTTACTTACACATCGACCATGCATCCCCAGAGTACTATTGAGCCTGTGCCCTGAATGTGGTAGGCACTATAAACTAATAGTGTGTGATCCATTAATAAAGACCGAATCACGCTCTTTAAGCCCAAACAACCAAACTGCAGTTTCATGGGCAACCTAAATTCTGGCATTTTCTAATTTTGGAGCTGTACTGGTTAACATTTTTTTCACCTAAATGGATTTTTCATTAAACAAACAAACAAAAAACCCTTTAACAAAGCCAACATGTTTTGTGGAAAGCAGTAACTTGTTTGAAATATTTAATTTTTGGGAAAAATTTGGGCAAATTAAGTTTTCAGTATCTAAAAATATTTTTTTTAAATCAAAGCCCAAATTAATCTAACAGAAAACAACCATTCTAATTTGAAAGTAACTTGTATTCAACCACAGTATTACCATTCCCAAGAATTTTAAAAAATGCTGAGTCCTCAGCAAATTATGACCTTCCTGGTTCGGAGACTGGAAGGGGATGAGGTCTCCCTGGGAAAGATGGAGAGGGCCAAGGAGCAATGATAGATGGAGGGGTTCCCTAAGAGCAGGGGTGTCAAAGACATGGCGCACGTGTTGGATCCGGCCAGTGGCGCCCCATCATTCGGCCCTGGTGCTGCCCTGTGTTGACCTGGTCTCTGCATGCAGCCTGTACCCGACTGGACCCCACCAGCGGATGCAGGATTGCACGGCCCAGAGCCCACGCGGGAACCAGTCCAGGACTGGACTGCATGTGGGGCCGGGGCCGGGGCCGGCCAGGCCAGGCTCTGCGCTGCACGTGGCACATGCTCCAGGGGACCCGGGTGGGCACCACACACACATGCAGCGGGTGGCAGATCCGCCCTGCACAGGTGCTGTGTGCAAGGCAGCAGCTGGACTGGGCTCCGCAGTGCGCCGGATCCCGAAGGGCCGGGGGTGCACGGGCCCGACCTCACCCCGCTCACCTCGCCCAAGGCCCGGCCCGACGCCACGCCTGCGGCCGGGGGCGGGGGCTCCCGCGGGCTCGGGGCCGGGGTGCAGG